CCCTCTCTGGTCAAATTAAAATAAGTAAATAAATAAAGTTAAATAATTCTTAAAAAAAAAAAAAAGACGTATTCATTCTATAATTTGGCCATTGCAATTCGTCTCTGTCTATAATCATTTTCTTCCACGTGGCAATTATAATGGTGAAGCGGGCATATATAGTAAAGCAACAGCAAAATGAAAACGCCCATCTTTATTTAGGATCCAGAGATAAGATGTGCTGCCAGGGTCAACCCAAATGTCTGTCTATGCAATAGATCCAGAATATTTGGGCCAGCAGGTGGCATGGTGGTTAAGGGCGCTAGACTCCCATGTGGCAGACCACAGTTCGAGTCTTGGACCTGGTGGCTTGCTTTCTCACTTTCTCTCTTTCTTTGTCCCTCTCTGGTCAAATTAAAATAAATAAAAATTTAAAAAGTTAAATGAAATAATTCTAAAAAAAAAAAAAAAAAAAAGAAAGTAATGTCATGAGCCGAATATAAGGTTGTTCGAAATGAGAATAGTGAAGAGTTTTAATATTCTCTTGGGAAAAGAAATATGGGATTATGGGCTGCAGCGAGGACCCAGCAAAAGCTGGAGATGGTAAATAAGTAACTGAACCAAATTCTTAAAAAAAAAAAAAAGATCTGGAATATCTATCATACCAAGTCCGACAAGTTACTATACAGAGTAGATACCATTATGATGTTGAGACTGCTTATACTTATGAAGTCATATTCATAAAGTTTCTTGTACATTGAAAATGAACATTTAGGGACTAGCAGATGGTGTAGTGGTTATGTTGTTGGACTTCCACGTCACTGACCGTGGTTCAAGTCCTGGACTTAGCAGCTTGAAACTCACTCCAGGTACATGTGCATGCATACCCAGAATTCCGAGAGGACAGTGGAAGAAGGGATTGCAGTGTGGTCATCCCCTCTGGAGGGGGTATTTTTTTGCTTTCTGTCTACATCTCTCTGTCTCTCTGGTGAGCTCACGTGCCCTAACAGCAAAAATCTCTCTAAAAAAATTAAAATAAAAAAAGGAACATTTATAGAATGCACAGGCACATGCATTGTTCATGTAAGAGTTGAGAAAACCTTGTCACGCAGGAAAATGAATAAATGGTGAAGAATGGGATTGTCGGGAACCAGCAGTTAGCGTAATGGCTATGTCGCTGGACTCCCACGTAGTCAACCGCGGTTCGCGTCCCGGACCCGGTGGCTTAAAACTCACGCCGGGCGCGTGTGCGTGTGTGCCCAAGATCCCGAGAGGAGAATGGAGGAGAAGGGATTGCGGCGTGACCATACCCCCTGGGGGGCGATTTCTCGCTTTCTGTCTCTATGGGATTGTCAAATTCAAATACGTGAAAATCAAGAGATTCATTAAGGTAAAAAAAACATTATGTACACACTTGAAATATAGAAAGATTGGGCCAGAAAGTGGTATGGTGGTTAAGGGCACTGGACTCCCACCTGGCCAACTGTGGTTCAAGCCCTAGACCTAGCAGCTTACTTTCTCACTTTCTCTTGCTCTCTCTCTCTATATATCCCTCTGGTAAGAAAGAAAGAAAGGAAGAAAAGAAAGAAAAGAAAGAGAGGAAGGGAAGAGAGGAAAGGGAAGAGAGAAGGGAAGAGGGAAGGGAAGAATGGAAGGGAAGAAAGGAAGGAAAGGAAGGAAAAAAAGGAAGGAAAGAAAGGAAAGGAAGACAGGAAGGAAGAAAAATAATTTTATATATATATATATATATATATACACACACACACACACACACACACATATATACAGAAAAATTACTGTGCAGGGTCAGCAGGTAGTGTGGTGGTTAAGGTGCTGGACTTCCACATGGTCAACCGTGCTTCGAGCCCTGAACCTGAAGCTTTCTCACTTTTTCTCTGACTCTTTGAGTGTATGTGTCCTGTAGCAAACTTTAAAAATATTATATAAAAATAATTTTAAAAAAGATTACTGTGTAAAGGAAAAATGAACAAAGCAGGCTATGTCACGATGATCGTAACAGCAAAAAGTAGTTAATTAGAGAATAGCAACTATTCGGGACCATAGCAAACAAATGGTTATATGCAAATGCAGGGAGGGCCCATGGATTCACTCTACTGCTACTTCCTGTACTTCATCACAAACTATATTCTAATGTTATTATTTTATTTGAGAGGTTTTTGCTACAGAGCATGTGCACTCACCAGAAACACAGAGACAGACAGAGAGATAGAGAGAGAAAGCGAGAAATCACCCCCTGGGAGGATGGCCACGCCGCAATCCCTTCTCCTCCATTCTCCTCTCGGGATCTTGGGCATGCATGCACACGTGCCCCGCATGAATTAAAGCCACTGGGTTTGGGACTCGAACCGTGGTTGACTACATGGGAGTCCAGCAACGTAGCAATTCCGCCATCTGCTGGTCCCCCCAAATAACTTTTCTTATATCCAGAGAATTTACTGTGCACTTGTAGTTGGAGAAAGACATAAAATGATAATCATTTATATTAGTGAAATAAACTGAGAGCCCAGTGGGAATAAGGTTAGTAATATGGCAGAATCAGACCCTCCAAAACATACAACCCTCTACAGAATAATAAAGAAAAAAGTAGTGAGGCCAGCAGGTGGCATAGTGGTTAAGGCACTGGACTCTCACATGGCTGACCACAGTACAAGTCCTGGATCCGGTGTCTTAAAACTCACACCAGGTGTGCATGCATTTGTGCCCAAAATCCCAGGAGGAGAATGGAGAGGGACTGCAGCATGCCCATCCACCTGGGGAATGATTTCTCACTTTTTGTCTGTCTCTCCAGCAAGCACATGGACAGTATAGCAAAAATATCTCCAAAAGAAACTACTCAGTAAGAAGAAAACAGTGGAAGCGTTCAAAACAACTTTGTCAAAACCCTGGAAGACTACTACTGTAGTTGTTTTGTTTTTTAAATTTTCTTCCTTCTCTGTTTTGAATGGAGTATTCCAAATTATTCCATTTTCTACCTGACCTAACTAAGGTATGTGGGACCCATAAGGTGGGTCCAATCTTCTCCGGACTTGAAGACTCTCCTTCCAGATGAGTCCTGCCCCATGCCCAGAAGAAAGGGAAGCCGGATAAGAGGACCAAACCTATGAACATCTCATATTCTTTAGCCTTCCCTATTTCATTTCTATAAGGTCAGCCATGCTTTAGTCCTACCCATGCTGAGGTCTCAGAAAACCTAAAACAGGGATTAGAGCTTTACTTAGTACTTAGCCCAACACCCTGAGGTTTTGGAGGGTGGCAAACCCACAGAGGGCATGGAAGATCTTTATCTCTTCTACTACATCTCTTTACCTGTATCCTCTGCAATAGCTTTGACAATAAGCTGATAAATATAAATGTTTTCCGAAGGCTGTATTTCTTTTATTTTTTTTTTAAGGTTTTTGGTATAGGGTGGGTATGCTCCCCAGAGAGAGACAGACAGAGACAAAGAGAAGAAAAGTGAGAAGTCATCCCTCAGGGAGGATGGCCATGCCTTAATTCTTTCTCTTCCTGGGACTTTGGGCATACACCCACATACGTGTTGATTTTCACGCCACCAAGTGTGGGACTCGAACTGCATTCAGTTATGTGGCAGTTAGCACCTTAATCAAAACACCATCTGTTAGGCCACCTCCTGATTTTTTTAAAAAATTATTTTATTTAGCTTTATTTATTTTTCTGTTTTATTTGACCAGAGAGGGCCAGAGTGAGAGAGAGGAAAGTGAGAAAGCAAGCCACCAGTTCTGGGATTTGAACTGTGGTCGGCTTTGTCAGAGTCCAGTGCCTCTAACCACTAGGTTACCTGCTGGCCCCTCCTCCTCCTTTTTTGAGTGGATCTGGTAAATTAATCAAAAAAAAGGAGGCAAGCTAGTTATGGACACTGGAGACAGTGTGGGACGAGGGTGGGAGAAAGGAAGAATATAGGAAAGGAAATCAGAGAGAAAAAATAGAGAGGCAAGACATCTGTGGGGTACAGAAATGGTTTATTACCTGTTGATGATAACGTGTATCGTATTCTCAACTGGACTGGTCTGAGGTGTAATTCATGTTGAGTAAAATTATAGCGAGTGAAATGTTTAAGAAAATACTAAAAGTAATAAAATGAATACATAAACTTGTTTAAAAAAAGAGGAGGTGAGCTGTGACATTTGGTCACAGAAATGTTCACTGTTCATGGAGATGCTGAGTACACAGTAAGAGATACTGAGGTTTTGTTTGTTTGTTTGGGTTTTTTTGGAGAGATTTTTGCTATAGGGTTTGTGCACTCAGCAGAGAGACAGGATGCGAGAGATCACCCCCCAAGGTGGATGGCCATGCCGCATTCCCTTTTCCTCTATTCTCTCAGGAGTCTGGGCATGCGCACGCATGCACACACACACACGTGTGCCCAGTGTGAGTTTTAAGCCACCAGGTCTGGGACTTGGAACCACGGCTGACTATGTCAGAGTCCAGCAATGGAAGCATTGCGCCATCTGCTGGTCCTGAGATACTGAGTTTTTCGTTTTTTAACTCAATGTAAAAATCTCAAAAAAGGCAAGTAGAAAAGCCCTCTTAGCAAAAATCTCTCAAACAAACAAACAAACAAAACGCCTTCTGAAGGTTCTCCTTGTGCCTGCCTACCTCCTCTCATAGAAGGTAGCAGTCAGGGCCAGCAGGTGGCATAGTAGTTAAGGCACTGAACTCCCACAAGGCCAACCAAGGTCTGAGTCCCAAACCCGGAGCCTTAAAATTCATGCCAGGCATGTGTGTATGTGCCCAAAGTCCCAAGAGGAGAATGGAGAAGAGATTGCAGTGTTGCAGTGCGGCCAT